GCTGCAGGTGGGGGGGGGGGGGGGGTGTGAATGGGTGGAGTTTGGAGGGTTGGTTAGAGGGGTAAAGAGTGAGGGTGGTCTCTGAGATTCAGATTGTAAGGCACATGACCCTCTTTCTACCGAATCACAGCTCCCTGAAGTTGGCATTTGCACAGACCTGCACACAAACGTCTAACACTGCATGTCCCCTGATACTCTGAAGCTGTATCTGAACGTGTTTGAGGAACTCAGTCCGATCAAAAACCAGCACGTTAGCAGGACTATCAAATAAAAGTTTGGACCAATTCATATGTATATAAAACAACAACGTAAAATAAATTAAAAATTAGAAGAGGGGAAAAATGAAAAAGGATGAGACAAGGCATTTTGTGGTTCTAAGTTTAAATCCGAAAGATTTAAACAACAGAAAGGGTCTTGTCTAGATGAAAGTGGAATAACAGTATCAAACCAAAATGAGGAATCCGCTTCTAAAAGAACACTACTTCAATGTGGAATTCTCAGGAAGTGGTCTGCTTCTAAATCTCTACCAAAAAAAAACAAGAACCAAAAAAAGACAGCAAACAAAAGTAGAAAGAAGGGGGTTCTTGGATCTTTTGATAAGCCGGGGGTTATGGGAAAAGAAAGCAATGAAAAGTGATATGAAAGGAGGGAGGCCAGAAAGGGAGGATGTCAGATGGAGAGGTATGGGAACTGAGATAAAACAAAGACAGGACACAAATCAACGTAATGCTATGGCAAACAATACAGCCCAAACAAAACAAAAGAGAAAAACAAATTAGTGTCACAAGCTGTTCTTGAGCAGCAATGAGACCAGCTATAACTCGAGCATTTCATCCCACTGTAGCCATAATAAAAGAGACTATAGGATGAAGATTTATATCAGGGTTCCTCAAATCTTGCCCTGGAGGGCCAATGCGCTGCAGAGTTTAGCTCCAACCCTGATCAAACTCACCTACCTGTGATTTTCTAATGATCCTGAAGACAATGCTCAGGTGTGTTTGATTAGGGTTAGAGCTAAACTCTGCAGGAGAGTGGATCTCGTGGGCCAGATTTGAGAATCCTTGATTTATATTCCATGTAAGGGAAAAAAAACTCTTATCTCTAAGGCTGGCATTAACATGCATTTCATGGTCAGATTATATGTAGACCAGTGGTTTTCAACCTTGCTGACTCGAAGGCCTCCCACTGCCCAACACAATATTTGAAGGATCCTCCTTCCCCCAATGTATGATATTATTATTATTAAGTATTTCTATAGTAATTATGACAAAACTGCTTGTTTTCAACTTCTTATTTAATAGAACTGGTAGTGTTGACATATTAAAGTAGTGAACCACAATTCATTTTGTTTTGTTGATCTTTATTTTAATTTAGTGTTAGATTATTTCATATGTAAGGGAAAAAAACCTCTTATCTCTAAGGCTGGCATTAACATGCATTTCATGGTCAGATTATATGTAGACCAGTGGTTTTCAACCTTGCTGACTCGAAGGCCTCCCACTGCCCAACACAATATTTGAAGGATCCTCCTTCCCCCAATGTATGATATTACAAGTATTTCTATAGTAATTATGACAAAACTGCTTGTTTTCAACTTCTTATTTAATAGAACTGGTAGTGTTGACATATTAAAGTAGTGAACCACAATTCATTTTGTTTTGTTGATCTTTATTTTAATTTAGTGTTAGATTATTTCAATATATTAATAATCATTTATTAATTTAAATACTTTTAAGTCACTTAGTGGACCCCTTGAAAGTTTGCTTGGACTCCATAATTTAGAACCACTACTCTAGACTTTTTTAGCCATATTGCATTTACACCTTTCATTCCAAAACACTGTGTGATTGGATAAAGACCTGATTGCAAAACTGCAAATGGATAGTTAAAAATACTTTGTCATATCCTGCAATTTCTTTAACGGTAAACCCCTCAGTAATGTTGGGAAAAAGGGAAAAAAACAAAAACACTTTCTTTGGGAGAGAAATGAGAAAAACAAGAATTCAATAAAAAAAATATGAAATTGTTGATTTGATTGCGAAGAAATATTTCAAGCTTAATAAATGTGATATGAATTCATTCATGACTATTTCCAAATGATCCAGTCTTAAAAGCTGCGTGTTACTGCCAAGTGTGACGGGGGTCCATATGACAAGATTTCCATTTCGGGTTTAAAATGATCAGAAAAACTGTTTTCACATGAATTGAATTTCACAGTCAAACATGATTGGAACTGAGCTAGAACTGGAAAACTGAAATTGAAAGTCTAGACTTTTTTAGCCATATTGTATTTACACCTTTCATTCCAAAACACTGTGTGATTGGATAAAGACCTGATTGCAAAACTGCAAATGGATAGTTAAAAATACTTTGTCATATCCTGCAATTTCTTTAACGGTAAACCCCTCAGTAATGTTGGGAAAAAGGGAAAAAAACAAAAACACTTTCTTTGGGAGAGAAATGAGAAAAACAAGAATAATTCAATAAAAAAAAAATGAAATTGTTGATTTGATTGCGAAGAAATATTTCAAGCTTAATAAATGTGATATGATCAAAATGCTACAGATCAAACCATTTTGAAAAATGTATAAACATTTAAATGTATAAACCTGCCCAGAAGTAATAGAATAAGAAAGCATGAGTTGTTTAGAAATTATTGTGTTGTGAATAAATTTTTGTTAATATATATTACTGGTACATTATTTATAGTGTATTATGGCCACAGTGTGCTTTGTGCATTATTCTTTGAATATGTAAGCTGTTTTGTTAATATTTTGTACTGCTATTTTTTCTCATTTAATTATCAACACAATGTGTCTTTGTCCTGTCCTTGATATTGTTAACAACATTTTTTGGTTAACATTCAGTGTTGTTACAGTTAACTAAAATGACTAAAAATTGTTACTATTAATCGAAAAAGCTTAAAAAAAAATCTACATATATATATATATATATATATATATATAGAAGAAAAACAAAATTGCAAACTTAAGTTAATTTTTTTCCTGCATGTTTTTATTTCATCAAATTGCCAAGGCAACATTTCAACATTTCATTTCATGAGGCTGAATTAATGACAGAATTTTTATTTTTGGGTGATCTATCGTTTTAAGTTGACGTACTAAAATGATTAAAACTAGAACTATAATTATTACAAATATAAATATTAAATAAAAATGAATAAAATGACGAAGCACATAGAATTAAACTAAAAACTAAACTAAAATGAAAAAGAAAACTTAAAACAAACTATTTCAAAATAACATAAATATTGTAAGAGTATATCCATAATGTTAAAATAACGCTGCAAACAGTTTCATCAGTAATTTCACTGAGATCAACATTAGAAGCTCTGAAAGGTTTAAGAGTCATTCTCACAGACAGGAGGTGTATCCTCACCTTGTCGCTGTCCAGTGTGTTCTGTGAGGTCCTGGAGGCCAGTGAGATGGTGTCTGGCTGACTGCTGCCGTCACCCTGACTGTCCAGATCCTCTCCATCCCTGCACACATAAACACACACAGGAAATTGACTCCTAGTCCTATTATGGTTCCACATACTAAGAAAACTATAAATCCAGCAACAGTAAAACGAAGCTGAAGGGTAAAAAAGGACAAAATGAATATTCTTATTATTCTTTCTAATATTTAAGTAAGAAAAGAGATGTTTCACTGGCCTGGGGGTGTACCTGCGACCCTTATGTTTGGCTGTGGAAGGTTTGGGGATGTGGATGGGCTCCTTCAGTGCCCCCTTCAGATGCACAGTGCGCTCCTGAATCACTTCACGGACGTGCTTTATCCAGTCCTGTTTGTTCTCAATACTGGACGCCTGTGTTTATGTGGGTGGAGAGAGAACACACAGAGAAATACAAAATGTTGAGTAAGAGTACACATTGATTTTCTGTTCTATGGTGAACTAAGGGTGAGTTATCTGTGTGGCTGTACTCACCATGGATCCATGTTTGCATCCCTGACTTAGCTTCATTCGAAATATAGAAATATACAAGATTTTACTGCTTTATAAAATGCCATATATCATACTACATGAGACAGTGGCCGGTAAGACATTAGGACAACATTAATAAACATATTTTTTGATAATTTAGAGCCAATTTTGCCAACGTGTTGTGATACATGGTTTATACATTAGTCACTGCCATTTGAAGATGTAAATTATGATTAATAAGTAGAATTTAAAACTATTTTTCAAATAAAAAGAATATAAGCTACTGCCTTTATATACATACATATTATATAGTTTAATATATTTTATTTTCTTAGTGTGAAAAAAAAGTATAATATATATATATAAGCGATAAGATATATGTGTGTTTGTGTGTACATGTGTTTGTAGTTTTAATAATGAAATACATGACACTGAATGATTTAAGCAGAGAATTTTTCTTCAGCTTATATGATGTAAACCACATATAAATGGACAGTAAATAACTATGCAATTTTGTCACATTTCACTAAAGAAAGTTTTGAACACAGTAGCCTTACAGTTTTAAAGCAGCATGCAGTCAGTTAACAGTTACTGTGAGACAGAAGCCACTTGCAATGCACATAAGCCACCAACAGTAGAGACTATTCTTGGTCTTTGTTTCCTTGCACTTTATTAACATCCAGTCAGAACCAAAGATGCAAGATCTTCCCATATAACCACTGTCATAGTTTGATACAAATAGATTTTTGTTGTTGTTAACATTCTCTTTAGGATCAACCTGAGGTGTTCTATTTTTAAGGAATATTTCATGTCAAATCATATCAAGAGCACCTGAGGCAAGCTGTCAATTACTACAGAAAATAATTGACATTCCCTTCCCCAGTTAGTAAAAACAAGTCTTCATGCAGAATATTAGGATTTGACAAATATTCAACCTTTTACTTGTTAAAGTGCAAAAGAGACGAGCTAGACAGAAATGCAACGTAGAAAGCTGGACCAAAACAGTGCCATGCTTGTCAACAGAGCAAGAGAAAGTCAAAAAAGAGGGTTACCTTGAGGACAATCTTGTTGTCTGAAGTTGGGGTCCGTCCAACCCAGAGGGCAAATTTACACGGATCTCCTTCCACATGCTCAGTAACACCCAGTTCAGAGGTCTGCAGCCAAAACAAAGCATTTCAAACAATCAGATCCTCTGCATAAAAAGATGTTTCAGTGCTTTAATCTTGATGTGAAACTTACAAAAAGCTTGCTCTTGTAGATGTACTTGCTCCTGCCATTGGAGTCTTTAACCTCCTTGCTGAAAATCAGTGACATTTCGAAGAGGAACAGGTGACGTTCCCGTCCCTTACGGATCAGGGTCTTGGGATCCCACACCTGGAACGCCTCCTGCAGGATCAGTTCTCCCTGGGACTCAATGTTCTCGTCAAACCCTGAAGACATTCACTGCCATCAGAAACCGTTTCATCTGCCCCATATGTGTCTTTGTGTGTCTGTGTGCGCGCGTCCACTCACCTTCCAGCATGCTCAAGTGCATGGCGTCATTGGCTCTCTTGGGAACACTGAGCATAACCTCCAGGCCATCTTTGATTTCACCTTTGCCTTCCTCGCAACACGTCAGGAGCTCCTACAAACGCAAACCCAATTACCACTAAAGTGGTTACAAGCAAACCATTCCGTAAGTTTCGGGATGAATTCAAGATGTTTTTACCTTGAGGAGCAGCTGGTACTTGGTTATTCTCTGAACAGGTTTGATGAGGTATGATGAGATGGAGTTGGCCAGGCGATGCCTCTGTTGGATTTCCTGTAACAAGAATTTGAATACACCGACTTTCACAATTGGGATTCAAATTGGCCACTGACAGGAAGAAATGATGAATGATCAAAATGAATAAAATACATGAATCATAACAGAAACATTCAACTCACTTCAAAATATCCTCCAGCATGCTCAAGAATAAGTTGAGTGGAGTCTGGTTTGTTCTTGCAGTAGTTCACGTACATTTGGAACTTATCGGCCTGATGAAAGATGAAAGAGGCATTTCAATGACCTTAATCTGAAAAAAGCAGATACAATATTAGTATTCAAACACAATTAACTCTACTCACCCAAGTCACAAAACAGTGGCCCACATCTTCAGGAAGCTGCTCGTACTTCTCCAGCTCTTTAAGGAAAATACTGGTGAAAAAAAAAAAAAAGAGCGATCCATATGAGCCACTTACAGAGGGGACTGGAAACTAATTTGCTGGATTTTGTACGGGAGAATTTATTCTTAAAAAAAATTATATTCTTAAAAAAATGCTTAAAGCATTTGCATTATAAATGAACTCACTTGTGATGGAACTCGTAGAGGTCCTGCATGTTACCAAAAATGATATGCTCTTTATTAACGATCCCTGGTGGGATCTCCTCCACACCACTGGTCATCTCCCACAGATATGTCTGGATGAGAGGAAAAGGTTCAAATTTATTTACATCATAGTCTGAAATAAGGACATTTTTATCGTGATTTGCTTCGATTTTCCATAATTCAGGACAAAAGATCCAAATAAAAGCTTTAATAATATACAACAAAATACTCACATCCATGCACTCTCTTAAGTCTCGCACATAAGCTTTTTCTGTCTGAATCAGCTCAGCCATGATGAAGCTATTCAAATGGAAAAAATAAACAATGTAAATCTTTCTCAATCTAAAAGTACAAGAATTCATTAGAATATTTCAGTGACCTTTCGGTCAATAAATAACAGTAAATCAGACATACTCCTTCCTGCGGGCAGACTTGCGCTTCTCTTCGTTAAGCTCATGGGCAGCATCTCTAAGTTTTACCTCTGACCCTGGAGCGCTGGCTGGAATGATGTCCAACTGCAGGTCTTTACTCTGGAAATTAAACACAACTTGTTTTTGTCCCACAGTCTTCTGACTGCATATCTTTTTCAGGACTATTCCCACTGATTATGCACAAAAATATTCTGGTAGCAGAAATAAAACAAAACAAATATTAGATGTGAACTACTATGTGGATGTGAAGTACTAAAATGACAAACAATCTAAAACTAGCACATAAAATTACTAATACTTAAACTAAAATTTAAACTGTATATATAAAAATAAACCCTAATTCAAAATATGAATAAATACTTTAACCGTATGCAATTTATTGCATTTGTCTGTCATTGTTATGGACATGAGTGTGAATCGCTTATTAGTTTATTGTGTATAGCTACAATTAAAACAAGTGTTTCTAGAAAAGAATATCAGGAAATAAGATTGAATGTATTCTGAATGTTTATTACATACAGGAATATTCTAATAACTGTAAATCTTGTATAAAAAAATTATTTGAAAAGACTTGACCAGAATACAGGTCTTAAGAATACGATGTACATGAAAAATTATGAGTATGTAAAATGATTGATGAAAATACTTATCTTAATCTACTGACAGCCTGATGGCAAAAACACAACTATTTGTCCAGATTATGGCTCCAAACCATGCGAATTTACTCAAATGTTAGCATGTGATATGTCAAGACTCAAAATGATCAGATATCACACTATTATGAGAAAAAAACACATACTGCTTTGTTTGAGTCTGATGATATGCCGAGGGCTTTCTCTAGAGACGTGCGATACTTGTCCATGCGAAGGGAGAAGTCTCGATAGCGTTTGTCCACGGCCGTGACCCATTTCTTAATCTCAGCGGCGTGGGAGTGGCCCTTATCACAGAAACCATCCGCTAACTGTATCAGCAGCTTCACCCGCTCTTTGGTTTGCTGGGGACACAGGAAGAAAATGAGCTTTAGGTAACTGCAGAGTTAAAAGGAGCAGCCCAGGTGTTTGTCATCGCTGTGGTGCAGTCGTACCTTGGCTGTGATGTGGAAGTCTTCGTGCTCCTTCAGAAGCTCCTGTGTGTGGTGGATGCTGGAGCCTGTGGAGGTGTGTGTGGACAGATAAAACTCACCGGTGTCATGGATCCACTCCAGAGCCTGGACAATGAGAAATAAACACTTTAAAATAGTGATTCATAGCAAGTGCGTTGCAGACAGTGAGGTAAAACAATGCTAAATGCAAAAACAAAACACAACTGAACATAAATGTGCATAGTTAAAATATGTATTTTCCATATATTTATTATTAATGTCATTCTCCAAGCAAACGCTATGGCCCTAATCTGGGTCCTAAAGTTGAGAAACATTGTTTTAAAACAACATTTTCATGACTAAACCTAAAATGAACTGAGAAGACATGCTATGGCATATGCAGACACACACATCCCAATACACACATACAAACAGAGGATGAAAAATGTAAATGTGTTAATTATAATGTCTCTGTGCAGTTTAATTAAAGCCATGGCAGTGAGTCATGAGTCTGTCAGTCTCAGCCTTGGGCCAAGAAAAAGTGAATAATCAGACATCAAAGGAACAGATGGAGGAAGAGGGAGACATCAAACCTGTTTGGCACTGCGTTCAAACACTACATACTGCTGACACTGGTCCAGCCTTCTCTTCCTCATGGTCCAGAAGTGCAGGACCCGATTCTCCCTTTGCAGTAACTCATTCAGGATATCTACAAAATCACACATGATCATTCTTAACCATGATGTACAACGCAGTTCTGAAGCACAACACTTTGAACACCAGCGCAGATCTTTGTAACTGTTAGCTGCAAGCCACTGAAATCATGCTAATCATAATATTCAATATATGTATTTTAACTAGTGCTCTCAATCAATAGAAATTAGTAGATACTAGATGTACAGATTATTTAATCGAATTCATCTTTTTCTGAGAACGCCCTCAAATTAAGATAATTCAAACAATATTGTGACAGACGAGTAAATCATTGAACAGACACTACAAAGAAGTTAACATTTTGTTTATTTCTTGAATTATATTGTTTATTGCTTGAAATGCACTGATAGTAGGAAAATAAGAATAAAACTATTATTATTTATTTTTATTACACTTGTTATTGTTATTATTATGGTTAGCCAACCATCAGTGCATTTCAAGCAATAAACAATTCAAAAATTAAACATACTGACTTCTTTTATTATAAAAAATATTATGAAATGATTAGATTATATTAAATTGGAGTATTTTTGCATAAAACTTAATCCATTTAGTTATAAAATTGAATGTTAAATGGGTAATTGAATCTTGAATATTTATTGCTTTAACTGATGGTAGGAAAATAACAACAATAATAATAAATGTATCTTATTATTACTATTATGATAGAATTAATACATAATTAAAACATTTCAGATTTATTCATTTTATTAATTAACTATTGTTAATTTAAAAATGTTAAATTAAAGGGGTAATGTTTTAATTTCTCTAATATAGGAAAATCCATTATTGTGGTTATTATTATTATTAAACACCTTTTTAATATTTGATCAAATTAAATTTACATAAACAATTTATTTGACTAAATACATTTTAAATTGAGAGCACTAAAGATAAAATTGCTACACAAGCAGATGCACTTTACAATGTTGTGTGTGTGTAGGATGAAGGTAAAGTGACGATCCCCAGTGGAGTAATGCTGTCACCATTCTGCAGTAAGCCGCCCTTATCTGTGCGGCAGAGGCCTGACCCATTTACGGTTTCCTTATCTGAGTCATTATAAGCACACTCTGAACAGAACAAGGCCGCATTCACAATGCACACATTCTAAACTGGGCTAAAGTGGGTCAAAGTGGGCCAGCTGCTAAAAACTCAAGTGAGGGTGCAGCGCACTGCTCGGCCACTAGATGGCACACCACAGCTATTTTAGATGGCTTGCAGAATGTAAAATCAACATGCTCTGGATCTAAACCCCTATGGGGAAGACAGACTGTGTTTTGTCATATCTCCAAAGAGCCAGCAGAGGGAAGACTGGTAAATAAGAAAAAAATACGCAGAGAGGCAGCATCTGTAGCCTTGTGGTTTGAAAAGTGGTACAGGATTTGATATACTACAGGGACATACAAGGGGCTCCATGTGTTTATTATACGTCTCTCTGGAATGCTTGATTGGTCAGTTGTGGTACTCTAGTCTATATATTTTTGCATAAAGTCTGCTAAACTGTATGATTGAATGCTAACCCAGTCATGTCTGTTTCATCACTTCACAGCCTCCAACTTGTCACAAAAATAGCTCGTTAACACTAAAATTGATATTTCCTGTCCATTTATTAATATATTTAATACATAGCTGCTTCATTAGCAGGATAATACACAGTCTGTATATCATCCTTTATGCAATATTTCTAAGTAATAATCAGGAACGTTTTGACGTCAAGCTGTGGCCAGAACTCACTTTTGACCTGCTGCTCTGGTGCTTTGACGTGACTCAGCATCCCCGGCATGCTGACACTGTTTCTGTGCATGTATTTCAGAAACACGTCAGCATTCCGTCTGGCCAGCGTGCATGCCTGCAACAGAGATAACAACGAAGAAATGACCCAAACACTGTCAAAATGGTTGTTGCAAAAACAACACTAAAAATTCAGTAAATGCTACTGTAAAAAATTCAACTGTAAGCGAAGTTTTATTTTTGCTAGAGTATGTCTACTATTCGTGTAACTATTACACACGTATGCAAGACTTGAGATTTTTTAGACCAAACCATCAGAAACAGCAACAGTACAAGTTTTATACATTTTAATCATGATTTTAAACAAAATTATATAGTCGAATGTCCATCTTACCGCTAGGGATGTAACAATACACCGCAAGCCGGTTGATACAAATATGTCACGATTAAAATCGTTGAGATGCTAAACAAATCACAATACAATTGGGGGTAGGAGTTTATGTGAATGTATCTCTGAGGGGAACTGACTGTCTTTAGAAATGTTTAGATGCTATTTTCTTTTCATCTTGCCTCTCTGTATGATGCATATTGAAGTAGTGTTCATAAGCGCAGTGCTGCTTTGCTTACAGCAGTAACCAAGGAAAGGCTATATTACCGCTGTTCCATAAGCACCACCTGCTGGCAGAGAGTGAATTTGTGTTTTCCTTCAGACCATCTGCTGTTTTTGTTTCGTGCAGATGTGTTTTATATACAGTTTCACAAAACTCAAGTCAGACCATTTTGCTTTTGCTTCAAATTTCAAAGTTATATAGTCTAATTTAGATTTAAAAAACTGCTCATGCTGCATGTATGCAGCATCTTTGTTTGGATCGTGATTAAAATACAGTGGTTGCCTCTTATTGTAAAAGGAAAGAGCACAGACAAAGCCTTTGTTTATATTAAGAGATTTCCTTTATTTGTATTATTTATTTGATTTGGGGTTTGTTTTAAAATTTCTATTTAGTTTTGTTATTTGACATATGTGACCCTGGACCACAAAATCTGTCTTAAGTAGCACGGGTATATTTGTAGCAATAGCCAAAAATACACTGTATGGGTCACAATTATACATTTTTCATTTATGCCAAAAATCATTAGGATATTAAGGAAATATCATGTTCCAAGATATTTTGTAAATTTCCTACCATAATTATATCAAAACTTTATTTTTGATTAGTAATATGCATTGCTAAGAACTTAATTTGGACAACTTTAAAGGCGATTTTCCCAATATTTAAATTTTTTTTGCACCCTCAGATTCCAGATTTTTAAATAGTTGTATCTCAGCCAAATATTGTCCTATCCTAAAAAAAAATACAAACCATAGCTTATTTATTCAGCTTTCAGATGATTTATAAATCTCAATAAAACATTTTTTTTTGTTTTAGTCAGGTTTTGTGCTCCATAGTCACATATTTAATTTCACAAAGAAACGTGCAGCATTTTGTCCAAGCTATAGTTATTATTTATTACAAAAGGACACCTTTTCATTTATAATTTCTTAAATCTCATTTTGTAAAAAAATTTAGAAATTCGTATTGTGAAATCAATATAGTGAATTGTATCACATCGTGAGTTGAGTGAATCTCTACATCACTATCTTCCACATGTTCATCTTGTCCCTGTATAATGCATATTAAAGTAGTGTTAATAAGTGCAGCGCTGCTTTGTTTACAGTGGTAACCAAGGAAAGGCTATATTGCTGCTATTCTATGCCGTTTACCTAGAAAAACACATGAAAAACAGTGATGGAAACATTTTTTGTCTGTATGGCTGCTTATTCACATGACACAGCTGTAGCCGAATCTTCTCAAAGTTACCTCTCAAAAAGTAGATTTCTGTTTGCAGGTGAATGCTGTTTGTACTCTGTTTTAAGTATCTAGATACCACCTGTTTGTTTTACTGACTGCCTGACTTCAGATGATTCAGTAAGAGATCGATTCCTCTGACTCAAATAATGATGTGCCCCCTGGCTTTGGATACGTTACCTTAAGGAAGGCCTCTTTCTGCTCCAGATGCTTGCTGATCATGGGGGTGACGTGGTCGGTTTCACAGTTGGGCCCCAGTTTGTCCGCTCCTCCGCACCAGTCCTCCTCCCGCTTGTACTCCTGCTCTAGACTCTCCAACACACTGCACACCTTCAGCATAGACGGGAAGATGAGCCTTCAACTGCCTGTTGGCCTTTTAAACTCATTACAGTATGAATTATAAAAGACCTGGATATGATTGGTCAATGAATACTGTTCAATCTACACTTAAATGCACAGCTATGACGTGTCAACAACTTGACGTGTCAAACCCTTCTACAGACCTGTTCAGAGGTCTTATAGAAGGCCACAGATGCATTGACCAGTTTGAGCCGGTCTTCCATCTTCAGCATGAGCTGCTGCCAGTGGGAGGCCACGTTCTCAGCGCAGTCTCGGATCATGTCCATGTCGTAGTGATTAGCCTGCAGCAGGGCCTCTGCTTTCTGCTGGACCTGTAGGGCGCTTTGATGGGTTTTCTATTGAGAGGAAGAGAAAACGTGTCAGATAAGACACACAAAGACAAGGAATAAAACAGCAGGCCTGCATGGACAAAGATTAAAAAAAAGATAGAGGGGCATGAGTCAGATGGCTTAAGACAACAGACGGTAAGATACGACTGATAGTTCATTATTCGTCCACAAAGTGTGGTTTACAGATTCTATCTTGAAAAACTGAGCATCCCTCAGTATTCAGTACAGAAACAGCAAGAACTGGAGTCTGATGGTAGGAGGAAATGAGAAGGCTCCTTTGATAGGCAGTCTTTGTGCCTTCAGGTTCCCAATAGCGATACAGTGACAGCGGCTCTGATGTTATCCTGGTTCTTCATTAAAGGAGGGGAAGTGGAGAGCAAACAGACTGTCTAAGCAGGAGCACATAAGACAGAGGAAAGCTCAGGCCTTGGCAGGATCATCTATGAGCTACAGCTGCAGATAAATGGCCAACTAAAGCATCAATCAATATGTTCAGACATTATAAGGTTTCATATTGCTGTGTGCATGTGTTTGTTCAACGACATGTTTAGGTTCAAGTGGTTGATTTTTTATTTAACAAGATTTGAACTTATATATTAAGGTCATATTAAAACTTACACCATGCCTTCAGTTATTTTCAAATACCTTTTACTGCATATAAACGTATGGGGTCTCACCAAGGCTGCACTTATTTGATCAATAATACAGTAATTTAAGGTAATTTAATTATGTGATGGCAAAAGTGACTTTTCCAGTCTTCAGTGTCACACGATCATTCAGAAATCATTCTAATATGTTGATTTGATGCTCAAGAAACATTTCTTATTATTACCATTGTTATGCTGCTTAATATAGAAACCGTGATATATACTGTATATCTATTTCAGGATTCTTTGATAAATAAAAAGTTCAAAAGAACAGCTTTTATTTGAAATAGAATGCCTTTGTAATATTATAAAGGTTTTTACAGTCACTTGTGATCATTTTAATGTGCACTTGAGAACGGTAGAGTATAGATTTTAATTTACTATTATTACTTGTTCCAGAACAACAGTGTGAGTGAGCTTGAGAAATTTGCAATATGGGATTAAAAAACAAAGAAAAGGGATCACTTTAAATATCACAGAATCTCCTTATCATGTGTCATTTCCAATCAAGTCATGAATTGTCAAATTATTAAAAAATAAATGATTTAATTGTATTTAAGGCACATAAATTCTAGGTATGAAATGATCCTTAGCAAGACTAAGGAGACAGCGCTTTTATTTCAGAAATTTATAAAATATTATTTGCACCAAAGATTGTTGGTAGATAAATTGACATGTGGTGGAAATTATATTTTGTTGGTTTAGAAAAAAAGGCAAAAAGACTTCACTGTTGGTCATTATTAGTGGGCAAATTAAAAAGTAATTATAGAGTGAAAACTGAGTTTATGTTTGCAGCCCACAGGTAAAATTGCCCTTAGTTGAAAAAACATGTGCATATGTGGGGGCACGCTAGTGCTAATACATGTTGACAATAACTATGATTTGAGCTATTATAATTACAGTAATGAGTCTATTGTGAGAAAAAGGCAAGGAGATGTTGAAAAGATTTGAACCAAAATATGAGCAGCACTGACCTCGATAGCATGCTGGAACTGCTCATGCTCTCTCTGCAGCTGCTCAGCTTCTTGAAGTGAACTGGCCGTGATCAGACCTGCATTCAGCATTGACTCGCCATTACGGATCCAACCCAGAACCTGCAACAAGTGAAGAGATCAAAAAACACAAATCGTTATATATACCGTGAATAAAGTATATATTGAGCAGTATGTAGTAAGCTTCCTTTCTGAACATAGCCTGTGCATTACCTGTTTGACTTCAGCCTGTAGGTGGCGCAGTTGCACACACTGCTCCAGGTGTCTGCGATGCTGCTCTGCGGCCACGTCCAGCTCTTGTTGTTTCTCATGTAGAAACTCCAGGAGATCCTGTACACGGGTGGCCATGTCCACATCACGGTCACACAGCAACTCGACACCTGGAAAACATGAAGAAATGCCACATTCTCAGCTCTCATGTTATTCACTAACAACAATCATGAAACTGCTGGACTGCAAACTCTCGTTTTAGGACTGAAGTGCTACAGATGACGTCGTAACTGTCATTTCCTATGACCATGAGAGCAAGATTACAATCCAACATGTATATCTCCAGTCTGCCCTAGAGACCAGTCCAAACACCCACTCAGTCCTTATGTCTGTGCAGAGACCGAATTCAGTGAACAAGCTCAGTCGGAAATATAACCTAATACATATGCATACTGCCCCACAGCTCTGTGGCCAATGACCACTGGATGACCTATAGCATCATTTATGTGAGATGTCTCCTTTATGCCAGTCTGAGCTCAAAGATCTGAGCACTAGCTGAGGACAATGTTTTAAAGTAGGTGTGTACTGGTCTAAACTGTAGGACTGCTATATAAATATATATGTGACCCCTGGACAAAAAACAGTCATAAGTAGCACGGGTATATTTGTAGCAAAAGCCAACAATACATTGTATAGGTCAAAATTATCGATTTTTCTTTTATGCCAAAAATCTTTGGTATGTTAAGTAAAGATCATGTTCCATGAAGATATTGTAAATTTCCTACCATACATATATCAAAACTTAATTTTTGATTAGTATCAAATCAAAAAAAAAAAAAAAATCATAGTATTGCTAAGGACTTTTGACAACTTTAAAGGCGATTTTCTTAGATTTTTTTGCACCCTCAGATTCCAGATTTTCAAATAGTTGTATCTCGGCCAAATATTGTCCTAACAAACCATACATCAATGGATTGGGAAGTTTATTTATTCAGCTTCTAGATGATGTATAAATCTCAATTTAAAAAAATGTACCCTTATGACTGGTTTTGTGGTCCAGGGTCACATATTTATTATTTTGGTACATATTAGTTCAGTTTTCTCTATCTGTACCTTGATCAATAATTTCTCTATTTGTACCTCAACACGATGCTTTTATTTGGACTTCTCAATACTTATCTGCTTCATAGACTGAGAGTACGGTCAAAACAATGAACAAAAACAACACTGTTAATTGAGAATGTAAGTTGCTCACCAAAGCATATATCAGATGAAAATAAACAGTAAAATAAAGTAATATTGCAAAATACTATTACAAAATAAAAGAACAGTTTTTAATGTTAAAATTTTTCTAAATGTAATTTATTCATGTGATGATAAAGCTGTTTTGTTAGCAGTAATTACTCCAGTCTTCAGTGTCACATAATCCTTCAGAAATCATTCTAATATGCTGATTTGGTGCTCAAGTAACATTTCTTATTAATATCAATGTTAAAAACAGTTGTGCTGCTTAATATTTCGTGGGAAAACATGATTTTTTTTCAGGATTCTTTATTGAATATAAAGTTTAAAAGAACAGCATTTATATGAAATGAAAATGTTTTGTAACATTACAAATGTCACTTTCAATAAATGTTATCCATCCTTGCTGAATAAAAGTATTAATTTCATACCAAAAAAATAACTAATAAATAAAAATACTAACCCCCAAACTCAAAGTGAAAGTAGCTATAATGTATATATACTCAAAAGCCCATATTGGCACATTTGACTCACCAGACGCCTGCACCTCGTTGACGTACTGCAGCAGCTCCTGGCCCTGGTGGATGACGTGGAAGGCGAGGTTGTTCATGGTCAGGGCTTTATCAGCGTGGTGCTGCAGTCTCTGTTCGGCCAGCGTCAGGTCCTCTGTGTCGAAGTCATTCATCTGCTGTGACAGCTCCTCATTCCATGAGTCCAGATCTGAGATAATCTGAAAAATAAGACAACATATGAGCGCAGTCTGAGAGTCACAGATGCCATTAATAATGTGAGATCACCCCGGACAAGAAACAAAGTGCCCCGCCCTGACTTGCTCTTATGCGTTTAGGGCAATGTGTGTGTAACTTCCTCCATCACTTTATAAACTCTCTCTGAGTGAGTGTTTCTGTAAGCGTGCAAACTGGAGAAAGAGTAATTACTCTGTAATTGCAGATCATCCTTGAAGACTGGAGCTTATTAATTGCTAGTAAATCATATTAGACATCAGGGAGACGCAAACTGTGCGCTGATGGAATATTGCCCTAGTTTAAGGAACAGTCCACTCAAAATGAAGATTCTGTCAATATTTACTCTCATTTCCAAACCAGTAAGACGACGACTTCTGTGGAACAGAAAAGTACTGGCCGCTATTTCCCATACAATGAAAACGAATTTGAGTGGATTTGAGTATCCTCAAAAGAAAATCATATGGGTTTGGAATGACATGAGGGTGAGTAAATGATGACGGAATTGACATTTCTCAGTGAATTACTTCTTTAAAACACACTGTCCCCCCACAGACACTTGATCAAGTTATACAGTGAACTCACATCAATGGCATCCCTCTCAAAGATCCTGAGCTGAAGGAAAAGCTCCAGTTTGATCTTCCTCTCCTGGAAGAGCTCCTCCATCTGAGCCTGAGCCTCATCCAGCTGCTGCAGGACGGTCTCGATGTGGTTGATGGAGCTGTTGTGAGGGGTCTTATTGCTGGAGATGGCCGAGTCTCTGTAGGAAGATAGTGCAAGAGCCGTTACAACAAATGTAAAGTTGTTTGGTGTGTGCAAGAGATACAGGAAGAAACACATTTACTTCTTACAATAATGTCCTTTGGGAAAGTCAAAGCTGTAATAAATGTTAGGAATTTTCAAGTCAAAGTCTTATGGAATTTGAGCAATTTTTGCTTTTTTCTCTGTTTGTACTTTGTTTAAACGGGTACAATGCTTAGATTTGGATTTCCCGACTCATATCTCCTTTATGGATTGAGTGGGGTCAAAACAAGGAATCTTAGGAATCAGTAAGGATAAAAAATGACTCGAGTCATGAGTATTAATACTGATTCATGAATCTGTTTGACTGATCCTAGATTTTCATCTAGATTTTTAAATACTTCTGCAAATGTTCAATATTTAAGATGCTATTTTTAAACTCATCTGGTTCAGTATCTCCCAAAATTCATAGCTACCAATTCAGATAATATTTGTATATAAAAACATTTTAGATTAACAGAGAAAATTTGCTATGTGAACTTTTGTTTCACTGTGCAGCTCTGATCGAAAATGACTTACAGTTGTTTGAGGAAGATACACACGAATCTGTTTTGCTGATTCACTAAAATGAAGCTTTCAAATGGCAAATAGATTGTAAATTAAACAACTGCAAATGCTTATTTTTTTGTCACATCACTATTTTATCATCTGAAGTAATTTGATTCAACATCTTTTTCCCATCAAAATCTGCTTTTGATGTAAATACGCAACAAAATTCATAGCTATTAATTTAGATAATATCAGTTAATCAAAATAGTTTTATTTTAGACAGACAGAGAACATAAAGTGTCCGCAGATGCTATGCAGCACAACACTTCTGCATTGCTGGTGGAAAAGGGGCTAATGGAGTTTTAAAAAGCAAACGTTTGTTTCATTGTGCTCTAATCTCCATGGGATAGAAGTAAATGATCAGCAGAATACTGAACCTAAAACTTAACAAAAACCGACAAATATTAGGGCGAGAAAGAGGATGTGACTTCAGGCTTGAAATTTAAATGTAATAAAACAAAAAGCCAGCACTAATGAGATTAAAAATTAATTAAAAAATTGAAATTATATGGTCCTAAAAGCATTATCTGCGAATGGGAGAGAGGATTACAAGCCCATTGAAAAGATAATATGTAAAATATGCAACATTATCATCTTTTCATTAAAAAGGTTAATTATCAGGAACAGCTTTAGTAATAATTGTACAAGAGGGTGAGGGGCGGAAAATACGAGGAAGCAACAGTTTCAAATTAGTCTGTAAGGGATAGAAAAAAGACGGATGAGTCCTTTCATCCCGTCTCAAAGGATACAAGTGGGTTAAGTCTGATTAAACTTTATTATAAACAAATGGCGTAATAAAGTAAAATCACAGTTATCGAGGTAATAAAGGCCCTTGCTTTAATTGATGCTTCAATGCTGGATCGCTGTGGAAAGTCTGTTCCCATGGTGATGTGCTTTTATCATACTGCAAGGCTTGCGTGACTGAGTGGACTTCATACGGAATAACAGAATAATTAACACTTTCATCACCGATTCACAACCACAACACAAGCAGGGTTTTGAGATTAGATTAGACACAAATACTATGATGACAGTTTTACGTCTGAAATGTGAGTAACTGTGTGTGATGCTGAGATCCGGATATCTCTCGTGTGTGAGTTGGAGAGCTTGTGTGAGTGTGTAATGTCTCTGCGGTGTGGGCATTCTGTGTGTTGGTGTGTGCTGGGGACCTTTCTGTTTGTACCTCTGGGCTCTTGGGGTTTAAGTATTACCTCTGCATAATTAACTGGGCGGTTATGAAAGCAGGATTATGTAAGACACTAGAGGAAGAGAGAATAGCAGAGCGAGAGAGAGACAGTGCACATGGAGGGATAGCCATCCTCAAAATCACATGTGTAGAGAGAGCAATTTGCAAGCGGAGGAGGAGGAGAATTAAGCCACATGTCTTCATCTGCTTTCCTTTCAAAAAAAAAAAAAAAAACCTTTAAGAGAAATGCAGTGTGACTGTTAAACTGACAGGTCAAACTGCATTAGTAATTATACAAAAACAAGTTGAAAAGTTGAATATATAAAGTAAATGTTATAATATAATTTAATATATTAAACAAAACACAAACATAATATATAAAATTAATTGCAATTAGCCAGTTATCAACATTTACATGTTTATATTAAAACTTAAACATCATATTTTATATACATTCCTACATTATTTTCTATATAAAATTAAATGTATAATTCATATAAACTAGTATTACTACAAATTATATTACATACAATAATAAAAATACATAATACAATTAATAATTAATGAATGAATAAATAAATAATGAATATAAATTATATTTAAAATATATATTTAAAATGATAAATTAATAACTGGTGCATGTGGATCAACTAATGAAACTAAATCTAATTAAGTGATATGCTGATAAGTTGAATGAATTTCAATGAATCACACATACAAATATCTAAAACTAAATTGTTAATTTATCAGCATATGACTTAATTATATTTAATTTCTTAACGATTAATTGCACCAGTTATTATATGAAACTAAAATGTACTATTTCATATTATTTCATATATAACATAAAACTGAATATTTAATAACATTTATATTTTATTTAATATAATATATATAACAGAATGTATCTTTTGATGTAAAATTTTTCTTTTATTGTAGACGGTAATATCTTACCTCTTTTGTGTTTTGTGGTTAAACCACTCTTTTCTGGCTCACGCCAATCAAACTCCAATCATACTGCATATTCAAAACATTCAAATATGTTTCCTCAAAACTCTAAACCCATTATTATAAAATTACTATCATTACGTAATGAAAATAAGTCATCTGAGATGCATCAAACCATTCCTCAAGCCCTGAATATCTTGTTATTTTGCAGTATTGTGCAGCCCACTGCAGTAGTGCTGATAGTCAGGGATTCAGAGTTGTACTGATGAAATGTGGCAGAGCTGAACATGTGAGAGAGGCTGGAAGCAGAGCAGTGAGTTTGCCCTGAGGGGGCTGAGCGACTCCACTCCAAACAGCCTCTGGTGCTCTCTCCTTCTTCTGCTTAACTTTCTGTTGAAGCATCCAGCTTTACTGAATCTCAGCCTTCACGTTCCTCTGCTGCTGCAGCCCTTCCCACATGCAGATTATACATGTGACCGACCGCCAGCACTAGACTGGGCATCAAGTCTCAGCCAAATGATGGAACTTTACAGCTGTACAGTCACTCACCAAGTTACAGTAAAGTAAAGAGAGCACAGTATACCAAATGCAAAGTGGATGATGGCAGATGGGGCCAAATGAAAGCTTGAACCATCCAAAGGTTTGGTTAAGTGAGGATTACTAATGGTCTGCTCAAGTACAAACACAATGATGAATAGAATTTCAATTCCACTTGAGAATTCCATTAAAGGGGACATCAGATGAAAAATGTAATTTTTTTATGGTGTTTGAACAAATGTGTTGGCAGTGTGTACACACAACCACCCTATAATGATAAAAATCCAACCAGTGCTTTTTTAAAAATCTTAATAAAGCCGTTCACAGATTCTTGAGTGACGTCACACAGGCCCAGGCTGGTCCCACGACTGTAGACAGACACTGGCGTTTCAACATAGACCTGCCCTGAGTGAGCTGTCAACAGTCCGCCATTGTTTCGATGACGGAGCAGGAGTAGACAAGAATGTCTCCTAAGCGATTGAAGTGTTTTGCTGTTGAATGTAATTTACTTCCAACATCTGAGCGGCTGAAGACACAGTGGATTACTTTTGTTTTTAAAGGGATTGCGCCCCCTGATCTACCTAAATGTGTTTATGTTTGTGTGAATCATTCGTGATCCAGCTTCACCTACAGAAGAAGTGAGTATAGTTTTTTTTATGAATCTTTGCAAATCGCCTTTCCTAATAATGTGCTAGTTAACAAGTTCCGCGGCTAAAGTTTACAGTCTCATGAGAACAGCTCGTCACCCCACGGAAGAGAGGGGCAGGGTAAGCAAAGCTCATTAGCATTTAAAGGAACATGCACCGAAACAGGTCGCTGTGAACAGAGCTGTTTTAGACAAAGTAAAAGGGGTGTTGTTTTACACTACCACTGAGATTTTAACAAAAGTATGTTACAAACTTTTCATTAAGACCCTAAAGAATCATACCAACTTGTGGAAAATGGGCATCTGATGTCCCCTTTAACGATTCTTCTAGTACTTGAAGATAATTGGTGCTAAATATATACAATTATACTAAACCTATAAGAAATACTACTTTATGGTAATATTTTGTCATTTTTTTAAACTGAAGACAGCAAAAATATTTCCCAAATCTGTATCTTTAATATTGACAATTGAAGTCCTTTTGTGAATTAAGAATACATTGATTCATATTGATTAAGACATCATAAAATTGGCAATGTCTCAGAGAAGAATCACTTTGAACAATTCAATAAATGAGTTGTTAGACTGAAACAAACGTGCTCAGCATATATCTAAGCATCTTGGACTGATTCACTGAAAGTAATTAGTTCATAAGAGTTATTATTTGTTAGTAAGTAGCACTACACTGGTTCTGTTGTTTGTGAGGAACCCCTGAAGATAAGTCTGTGTATTGTCTGTGTATTATTTGGTGGAACCCAGTCTTTCACGCTAGGCTTCAGACTGCAAACCTAAAGCCCCCTAGTTGGCTCCTTGGTGTGTGTAAGATTTCAAAAGATGGCTTTCACACTAATGTAACAAACCACACTTCAATGGAATCAAACTTGAGGTCCACACCAAAACATTAAAGTATTTGTTGCAGGAGGAGGCATGAAAGGGAAGGACACCTGAGTTGTTGAATGAGATCTTCTCCCTCTTTGATGACATTTACAGTGAATTGCAGTGTGGTCTGTTGCTGCTGCCCGAAACGCTTGATCAGGTCCTGAACGGCCTCCACCGACTCGGCATACACATCGTCCAACAATTCCTTCTGCAACTCCTCCAGCCACGTCCACAGCTATGCACAAAAGACACATGCATTAATCACTTTTTACTTTGCTTAGAGAGCTCTATATTATTATTTCAATTGCCCATTAATTTAGCATATTTTGCACATTCATCTCATATTTAATTTAGTTTCTAATTTATATTGAGCATTAATGTATCTGGTTCTGGTGCAAATGTGTAAAACTACACGCTTTCATAACTGGGTTGAATGACCAACTAAAACTATTTTTTACTTGACATTCTCATGGTGCACACAAAAGAAAATAAATAAATAATAAGCATGCTAAATATCTACATCATTTTAAGGTACAAAAAAAAAAATCACAGTAGTTTAAAAAAAAACAAAAAACTCCACATTATGCATAAAACCCGGAACATTGCTCAGAGCAGGCGATCTGAGGCCTAAGGCGAACTGTTTTGAAGTTTATTGTTGACGGTGGTGAATTTGTTACAAAAGCAGTGCTTTGATGGTTGTTGGGGAGATGCTCTCCAGAGGTGCTTTAAAGACATTAATTTGAAGACAAAGAGTTTATTTTTCCTGAGAGGATTTTAACAAGCTGACAGTTTAACATATGCTGAAACTGTCCCGGGAGGTTGCATTTTTTGAATCAAAGCTTTTTTCGCACGACTGCAAAAGTTACTATTTTGTAAATTTAGATGAAACTGCTCAACCATCCCTAGTTCTTACCTCCTTAACATGGGTGTGGAAAGCCACTGACATGTCCAGCAAGACTTTTCGCTGCTCCACACGCCTTACAAAGTCCTGGATCCGGTCCTCCAGCTGATGGGCGGCCTGATAGATCTCCTCCGGGTCACACTCACCTGTCTGGGCCAACTGCTCCGCAGCTTCAAGCAGCTTATCAGCATTTGTGTATGTATTCTGATAAAGAAGAGACATGTATGGACTATGATTATGATGCTCATGCCAACTGGAAAGAATATTTTGCTTCAATGCATTTTGACACTGACTAGTCCAGTAGTTCTGTCACTAGTCAACATGACTGTGTAGAACAAATAACATCGTTTACATAAAGTAAAAAATAACCCATGGACTAGTCTACTAGCAGTGAACAGTTATAACTAGTGGTCGACCGATATATCGGCCTTGGCATTTTTCATATATCGGCATTAGACGATAAGTTTTTCTCCCTGGCCGATGTATTCTGAGAACGGCAGCGCCAGAGCACACAGTGCTCGCATTCTCCCTCTTCATTGTTTGTTATTGTCGTTTAACAGTTTTGCCTAATACAGATAGAAGTCTGTCTAATAATCAGATAGAACTGTTGAACAAATGAATTAAAAGGTATACAAAAAGTATTATAATGATTGCTTTTAAATTATATTAATTTAGCATATTTTGCACATTCATCTCATATTTAATTTAGTTTCTAATTTATATTGAGCATTAATGTATCTGGTTCTGGTGCAAATGTGTAAAACTACACGCTTTCATAACTGGGTTGAATGACCAACTAAAACTATTTTTTACTTGACATTCTCATGGTGCACACAAAAGAAAATAAATAAATAATAAGCATGCTAAATATCTACATCATTTTAAGGTACAAAAAAAAAAAATCACAGTAGTTTAAAAAAAAAAAAACTCCACATTATGCATAAAACCAGGAACATTGCTCAGAGCAGGCGATCTGAGGCCTAAGGCGAACTGTTTTGAAGTTTATTGTTGACGGTGGTGAATTTGTTACAAAAGCAGTGCTTTGATGGTTGTTGGGGAGATGCTCTCCAGAGGTGCTTTAAAGACATTAATTTGAAGACAAAGAGTTTATTTTTCCTGAGAGGATTTTAACAAGCTGACAGTTTAACATATGCTGAAACTGTCCCGGGAGGTTGCATTTTTTGAATCAAAGCTTTTTTCGCACGACTGCAAAAGTTACTATTTTGTAAATTTAGATGAAACTGCTCAACCATCCCTAGTTCTTACCTCCTTAACATGGGTGTGGAAAGCCACTGACATGTCCAGCAAGACTTTTCGCTGCTCCACACGCCTTACAAAGTCCTGGATCCGGTCCTCCAGCTGATGGGCGGCCTGATAGATCTCCTCCGGGTCACACTCACCTGTCTGGGCCAACTGCTCCGCAGCTTCAAGCAGCTTATCAGCATTTGTGTATGTATTCTGATAAAGAAGAGACATGTATGGACTATGATTATGATGCTCATGCCAACTGGAAAGAATATTTTGCTTCAATGCATTTTGACACTGACTAGTCCAGTAGTTCTGTCACTAGTCAACATGACTGTGTAGAACAAATAAAATCGTTTACATAAAGTAAAAAATAACCCATGGACTAGTCTACTAGCAGTGAACAGTTATAACTAGTGGTCGACCGATATATCGGCCTTGGCATTTTTCATATATCGGCATTAGACGATAAGTTTTTCTCCCTGGCCGATGTATTCTGAGAACGGCAGCGCCAGAGCACACAGTGCTCGCATTCTCCCTCTTCATTGTTTGTTATTGTCGTTTAACAGTTTTGCCTAATACAGATAGAAGTCTGTCTAATAATCAGATAGAACTGTTGAACAAATGAATTAAAAGGTATACAAAAAGTATTATAATGATTGCTTTTAAATTATTAGTAACAGAAAGGCAGATATAATACTTTCTCGTTTGCCGTCAGCATTCAGCAAATACGCATATCATTTAAACAAACCTTTAAATGACTAATGAACATTTAATTTCACAAACCTTGCAGACTTAGTCGAATCCAGCTGTGAGATCGTGTGAAGTGTGCATTTGTATATTGCCTGATCGCGTGTGCTCTGCGTGACAGTCGATCCGTGCGAATTGAATCCGGACAGGAGGAGAGGTCAGCTTCACTGGAGACGTGCGATCAACTTTAAACTCGTTATTTCAAACTATGCTGATTTATGCATTTGCGCACTGTCATACTCATGTCATTTTTACGGCATGCTACATGTAAAATGAGTGTTACCTTGGCTTTAGTTGAAAAAATATGATTCCCAATGCACACAAACTTCCCAGATTACCGCGTGCCCTGTTGGTTACAGTGTTTATTTTCTTTTTGTTTATATATTTTAAAATATTTATTTATTTGTGAAAAATACTGTAATATGAACATTTAATTTCACAAACCTTGCAGACTTAGTCGAATCCAGCTGTGAGATCGTGTGAAGTGTGCATTTGTATATTGCCTGATCGCGTGTGCTCTGCGTGACAGTCGATCCATGCGAATTGAATCCGGACAGGAGGAGAGGTCAGCTTCACTGGAGACGTGCGATCAACTTTAAACTCGTTATTTCAAACTATGCGTCATACTCATGTCATTTTTACGGCATGCTACATGTAAAATGAGTGTTACCTTGGCTTTAGTTGAAAAAATATGATTCCCAATGCACACAAACTTCCCAGATTACCGCGTGCCCTGTTGGTTACAGTGTTTATTTTCTTTTTGTTTATATATTTTAAAATATTTATTTATTTGTAAAAAAATACTGTAATAGAATTATAGAATCAGGAAGTTGTCATCTAAAGTATATTTATTTTACACATTTATTTTTTATATTATTCATTTTCAAATTATTTTAAGGTTCTCAAACATTAATTAAAATAAATAAAATTATAATTAAAATAAAAAATATACTTATATACAGTATATCGGCTTTATATCAGCCATTCTGCTCTCTAAGATATCGGCATCGGCTGTCAAAAAACCAAAATCGGTCGACCACTAGTAGGCTTGCCGTGTTAAGCCGCAACACGAGTTACGTCACTTGCCCACCGCGTCACCGACCCCCACCGTCGTTTTGATTTTTTTGTAGTAATAAAAATAATTTAGTTCAGTAAAAGAACAGACACTACAATTAAAAACTGAACGCGGCTGCTCAATGCAGCGTGCCGAACGACAGTCGCATCACAGATCAGATTTCATTTCTCCAGTGAGGAGAGCGAGTCGAGCTGACTGACAAGAGTGAGGTGAGACAGACAAGACGATGGCGGATGATTTAGTTTCGAAACGAAATGCAAAAGCACCTGTTTGGCAATATTTTGGATTTTGAAAAGCCTGTTGACTTTTGCCGTTTATCTAAGGTGATTTTGGAAGTTTTTTTAAAACATTCGTTTCTTATTTAATTGGTTCCACATTGTTTGCTGATTTTTACTTTATTTAAACTTTGTGTCATTTATTTATTTTATTTCACATTTGTTTTGCTAATAAATGCTCTACGTTTCTTATTTATTTGGTTATATATTATACATGTTTAGTTATTTCCAGTTTTGTATACCTATTAAACTTTATGTAAGTTATTTGTTATTTTATATTAGGCATAGCCTGCCCTATAGCATAGAGTATTTTTATTAGTTTTGTTAATAAAAGTTCTATGTTTTATATATAGGCTAAAGTGAGTTTGTAGTTTGTTGTTGCATTCAAGCAATTGACGCCGAACTGCTGCTAATTCAAAAGTGAAAGTAAAATGCGCACACCACTTTTACAAGCTATTTAAAAGCGAAGGAAAGCGAGGAAAAGAGGGAACGCCCCGGCAGTGATACCGGTGTTGTCACACGTCGATTAACCGGTGGGAAAATTTCCTCACCGTCACAACCCTAACCACTAGTTATAACTAATTTCATGTTAAATGGATTACATAAAGGGATAGTTCACCCAAAAATTTACATTTTGTCATCATCTACTCACCCTCATGTCGTTCCTCAAACCTGTATGAGTTTCTTTCTTCTGTTGAACATAAAAGAAGATATTTTGAAGAATAATGGTAATCAAACAGTTGATGGTCCCCATTGATTTCTATAGTATTTCTTTCCTTACTATGGAAGTCAATGGGGGACCAACAACTGTTTGGCTCTTCAAAACTCCTCAAAATATCTTGTTTTGTGTTCAACATAAGAAAGAAACTTATACAGGTTTGGAATGACATGAGGGTGAGTAAATGACAATTTTAATTTTTGGGTGAACCATCCCTTTCAGATTCTGATCAGATTCCAAAAATTAAGTAATTTTAATTAATTATATTACATTTTAAAATGCTTACAGTAATATTACAATTATGTTTTATGGATTACATGATAACAAATTATTCATACATTATTTTGACCTAAAATATTAACTTGAATCCCTTTGAGAATTTAAGTTAATATTTCAATCATTTATTTTCACAGTTCTCTGACGTTGGTTAATGGTCACATTTACATGCAGGTACACAAACAAAATCTTTATACTTTGTGTTCGAATATTGTTTTTATATTGAAAGGACTCTTTTTTTTATGATGCACTCTTATAATTTAATTTACCTATTTTCAATAATTCACAAAACCCTGCAGTTCCTTCACAAACCCCAAAAACCATGATGTTTAATGCACTATGATTAATTGCACTCTACTCTCTCAAAGGATAGAATATACGGTATTTTCCTTCTCTTTGTATTTTTGTAATCAATAAAATATCCCTATTCAAAACTGTGATAAACGAGTTTTGAAAAAGTAATCTAAGAGTAATCAAGAAAGTAGTCAGAATGCCATACCTAAAATGAGTAATCTAATAGATTACATTCCTAACTACAATTTTCATCATGTAATTTGTAATCAATAACATGCTATAATTTGTAAGTAATCTACCCAGCACTGTTAAAAATGGATAGTTGGGAAAGACCTTGCGTGTTATATTATGTTTAGTGACTCCTTATTAGCTGTACTTTTGACTTAATTGGAAGAATACAGAGAAGCCCGATCAAATAAATCTTGAAGGGAAGGGGAGATTTTAGAGTGGCGAACCTGAGCAACTTCCTCAAAGTCTTCATGGCGTTTCTGCAGGGCTCGAGCGCGATGTAGAGATTTCCCCACTCCTGTGTGTTTGCTGAGAAACGCCTCACCGTGGTTCTCAATCCAGTCAAGAACCTGCTCACACACACAATGCACACAAGAGGAAAAAAATGAAATTAATATGTGAGACAGCAGCAGAGCTATCCAGTCCTTCTCTAGGTGAGAATGTGTCCTGTCAGATAATGGGAGTCAAAACAAGGTACCACGACAGGTGATGCTGCAGGGTCCAAGACAGAAAAAATTATGTATAAAGGTGTCGTTCACAGTGTAACTCTCCCTCTCTGCAGTTCATCGCATCCCCAGCACCTGAATAGTGGTTTCCATGGCAACACTTTCCCTCAGCCACAGAATTAGCCATTTTGCATTCTCTCGGTCAAACAGCTCGCTGCAGAAAACCACAATCTCTGCACCAACAAACTGGCCCTGAACCTCTGAAGACAATGTACAATAGAGAGATGCCTAGTATAACGCTATGGCAGCGGCTTATCCTTGACTTTAAATTATGCGTGACTATTTCTGTTTGTGTGTAAACAAATATAACCCCAGAGAAGTTAAGCCAAGATGTTGCGGTGGTGTTTTCTCTCCTATATTAAAGAGGCAGTGGTAACAATAATTACATGCTAAACTAAAGCCTGCCCAGAAGTATGAATGTGGAAATCTCCAAAACAGAAAACAAAAAAATGTCCGCACTTTTCAGTACACTGAGGGTTATAAAAAGTACTGGTACTTTAGTACCAATTCGACACTGAAATAAAAACTATACCAGTCTTCCTTTATTATCGGTAGTTTAAAAAAAAAAAAGCAAGTGTTTACAAAGGACACAAATTGTCAAATTATGTGTCATATTACATCATTAATATTAATCAAACAGAAGATTTATAAGACAGAAAATATTAATATTTTGTATTTTTAAATCAATGTTATTTAATTGTTTTATTTCATTATATTAGTCAAGAATTTATTTTTTATTTAAACATTTTTATATTATTTTATATTGAAAATTGTTTTTTTTTTTTAATTCAAATTCATTAAATAATGGAACATGGAAAATTTTTATTTTTTAATTCGAAAGCTATATGCAATTGTATTTCATTTATTTAAAAAAAAATCACTTTGCATGTATAACCAAAATTATAATAAAAATACTTTGACAATTTTTTTTTTTTTTTTTGTGTTTCAAAATTAGGATCGAAAATCAGGAGATCTCACTGATACCGACTACTAAAATTTTATGTTAGGGACAACAAAAATTACAACAGTTACTTTGGTAACACGGCTCAGTTGCCTATGGAGTCCTTTCAGCTATTCATGCAGACTCTACTTCCTTTCTTTTGTATCTCCCTCTCACATCCTTCCATCCCATTGTATCATCTTGATGCTTTTTAAATCGTCCCTCAAGGGTATTATGAAATGCCACATGTAGTTCTCAGTACCACACTTCGACCCACGTGGATCTAGTGGGGTATTTTCAGGTGAATGAATATGTGTGTGTGTGTGTGTTTTACCTGCTGAACGTCTTGCTGGAATACACACAGCTGCAGACGTTGGTGCAGCCGGACCTTACGGTGCTGCCAGATGTTCTCCAGCTGCCTCTGGTGATGCAGAACCTCATGGATGATGTCCAAAACATGGTGCACCGCTTTGGAGTAATTGGCAGAAGCCGTCAGCGAATCAGTGCTGCCAGGGGTCAAGGGGCGCTGAAGTTTGTCCAATAAGGCTTTTCCATCTTGGCTCACCTGGGAAAGAGCGGGACAATGATGAGAAAACAATTGCACAAACCTAATAGACTAAATTAAGTTGTATTGTCACATGCATTGTAACTCTTCATAGCACTGCGTTTTATAATAAATATATTTAGCTAAAATTGCCACATTAGACGTGTCTGTAATTGCTATAGTGTGCAAGTACCATTTACTTTGGGATCAGTACCCTTAAATGTTTTTTCAAAAGTGCCTGGCAATTTAGAGATTTCGAGACACACGGCTCGGTACCTCAGAGTAGGCAGCAGTGATCTGCTCATACAGGCCTTGGTGATGGTGGATGGCGTCCTCTAGGTCCTGTAGCTCAGAGGGCAGATCCACCTCCCCGTATTTTTAAATCAATGTTATTTAATTGTTTTATTTCATTATATTAGTCAAGAATTTATTTTTTATTTAAACATTTTTATATTATTTTATATTGAAAATTGTTTTTTTTTTTTAATTCAAATTCATTAAATAATGGAACATGGAAAATTTTTATTTTTTAATTCGAAAGCTATATGCAATTGTATTTCATTTATTTAAAAAAAAATCACTTTGCATGTATAACCAAAATTATAATAAAAATACTTTGACAATTTTTGGAAGTTGTATTGTCACATGCATTGTAACTCTTCATAGCACTGCGTTTTATAATAAATATATTTAGCTAAAATTGCCACTTTAGACGTGTCTGTAATTGCTATAGTGTGCAAGTACCATTTACTTTGGGATCAGTACCCTTAAATGTTTTTTCAAAAGTGCCTGGCAATTTAGAGATTTCGAGACACACGGCTCGGTACCTCAGAGTAGGCAGCGGTGATCTGCTCATACAGGCCTTGGTGATGGTGGATGGCGTCCTCTAGGTCCTGTAGCTCAGAGGGCAGATCCACCTCCCCGCATGCTTTACACCATGAGTCCACATTGCTCATGTACTGCAGAGAGACACAAATACACACACACTTACAACAAAATTACAATAATATCAAGCCCCTAATAATAAAAAAGAAACAGTAATGAACAGCCATAAGGTAATGGACTAGATCTGTTAGTGCCAAGAACTAGATCAAACCAACTTATTTGGTTTAATCTTCAAAGCTTTGCTATGTAACCATTCTACACTAGCTTTGAAGAAGTTCTGAACAGTTTGTTTTTCCATCTAAAGTGTACTTAGACATACAAAGTGATTTCTTAACAATTTTCTCCTCAGAACACGAATTTATCCAAAATCTTCATTAAAAGCCATTCAAAGACCTTAAAACAGTATGTACTTTAAAATTCTAGTTCTAAATTGAACATCTCATAACTCTCATCACAATGTTTGTACATCTGATTGTATATTCCAGTATAGTATGTCCATACAGACCTCTGACATCAAAAGAAATGGAATGAATTAAAACTAATAAGGGCAAATGCAGGACATGATGAGAGACATGGTTCATATGCCGCACTCCGAATATCAATTCAAATCAAATCGTCTTTCATCTCATCTCACTCTTCCTCAGAGATGAAGAGCAGAATGTGGCTGGGAGTCTGGTTCAACTCAAACAGAATCTCATGCATGAGGACAGCCAAAACCAGACAGCCTTGTGATTGGCGGTTGTGGTGATGCTTAAAGGGAAAGAAATCTCTGGACGGGAGATTGTTGTTGATATAGCCCCTCTATGAAAACACTGCATGTGTGAGAGGAATATTTTATAAGGGAAAGTAAGCTTCACCTGTCCTCTCTACTGCAGTCTCTCAAATGTGTTTTTCCCACATTTTTAAAGGGGTCATATGATGCGATTTCAATGTTTCTTTTCTCTTTGGGGTATTACAAGCTCTTGGTGCATAAAGAAGTTCTGTAAAGTTGCAAAGGCTAAAGTCTCAAATCCAAAGAGATATTTTTTATAAAAGTTAAGAGTCAACCACTCCTAGCTAAAACAGCTCATTCTAACACGCCCCCACATCTACGTCACGATGTGGGAAGATTTGCATAACGCCGCCCAAATGTTCACGCAAAAAAAGGTGGCGTAACTTTAATTCTTGCTGTTGCCGCTACTGCCATGTTGTGGAGTCACTGTGTGTTTCGTGCGAAACTACTTTGTTTGGCCCTCCAAAAGAGGACGCAACTAGAAATCAGTGGTTAAGTTGTATTTACAACACTGTTCCAGAACAGTTCAACCCAAATATTCAGATGTGTGCTGCGCATTTTATGGAGGATGAGGACTGTTTCCTGAACCAGTAGCCTACAATGCGTCTGTGGCACAAAGGCTGTTTCTATAAAGTTGGGCAGTTCCAACTTTGCAAGGACATTCTGGTGCTTTTGACTCACAGCCTGTAAGTATGTTTTTTATATTTAAATGATTTGCCACTGATGATTCAAACGCGAGTTTTGAGCAGTGTAGAGTAGGCTTGTTGTTTCTCCGATCACAAATGCAGACATGGTTTTACGTTTACACAGCACAATACGCAATGCGTAAAAATACAGTATAAGTCATTATAATCAGTAATTATGTCCCCACTGGATGCAACAAATGCCTCATTTGTAATGGGTTTTATTGGTTTTGTCTCCTCATGCTGGGAGACGGCATCACAGTATGTTAAGGGGCGTAACATTTCCGTCACACGCTTGAGGTATTCGGCCAATCACAACGAACTGGTTAGCTGGCCAATCAGAGCACATCTCGCTTTTTTAGAACGATGAGCTTTGTAAAAATCGACGCGCTTCAGAAAGGCGGGACATAGAGGAGAAACAATAATGTACATTATATGGAAAATAATGTTTTTTTAACCTTAAACCGCATAAACACATTGCATTACACCAAATACACAAAATAATGTACTTTTTAGCAACGTCATATGACCCCTTTAAATGAGTGTTATTTCACTTTCATGAAGGACTAGTGAATTGACAATCCAAATATAGGGCTTAGTAAAGAAATAAATTTGATTATTAAAAACATCTATAAAACTGCTCAGAATAATTGTTTTCACTCAATATGTGTATTTTAAGCTTATTAGAGTATTGTGCTGTTAGCTTAGCAACACGCTACCATCAAACTCCTTCAAAATCGGTTGTAAGTTTGCGTATTATGCTGTCATCTATTTAAAGCCTTATGAGAAACCACTCACGAGGTTTCAAGACCTTAGAAGGCAGCTGCCTATGTAGGTGGCAGGCAGTTCACGAGGTCTTAAAGGGGTCATATGATGCGATTTCAAGTTTTCCTTTCTCTTTGGAATGTTACAAGCTCTTGGTGCATAAAGAAGATCTGTAAAGTTGCAAAGACTAAAGTCTCAAATCCAAAGAGATATTCTTTATAAAAGTTAAGTCAGCCACGCCTACCTAAAACGGCTCGTTCTAACACACCCTCACATATCTACATCACTACATCACGTCCAAATGTGCACGCAAAAAAAGGCGGCGTGGTTTCAGGAACAGCAGTAGTGTTGATGCAGCCATGTCAGGGAGACGCTGTGTGATTCAGTATGAAAGCAAAAGCACTTTATTTGGCCTTCCGGAAGTAGATGCAATTAGGAATCATTGGTTAAGATTTATTTACAGCAGAACAGCACAACCCAGATGTTCGAATTTGTGCAACGCATTTTATGGACGACAGTTTTTTGAACTTAGAAGAGTACAAGGCTGGCTGTGCACAAAGGCTATTTCTAAAAATAAAAAAAAATTTTAAAAAACTGTCAGCTGTCTTAACCGCGGCTTGTGTACTGCATCATCACGGTGTCTGTCACGCGACTCAGTTGCCCTTTCGGGCTTGAACTGACGGTAAAACTAACGACATTATTAACTGTCTTGACATTTACTTTGAAAGCTGACACTCGCGATTATGGTAAGGGGCGTTACATTTCCGACGCGTGCTTGTGGTGTTCGGCCAATCACAATGCACTGGGTCAGCTGGCCAATCAGAGCAGACTGCGCTCGTCAAAGGAGGGGGCTTTGTTGAAAACGACATGTTTGAGAGAGGCGGGGCATAGAGGACCTACAATAATGTACAGTATTTGAAAAATAATGTGTTTTTTGAACATTAAAGCAAGTCAATATATTCTGTTACACCAAATACACAAAATAATGATCTTTAAAATAGCATCATATGACCCCTTTAAGACAGCTCTTGCATTCTCTTTTCTGAAATGATCTTGCTGATGATTCATTTGTTATTCAAAACGAATCAAAGCCTAAGTCTGATTATCACTCACTTTTAACAGCATGTGAAATCCATTCCTCTTTTCTCTTGCTCCAGAAGTAATTATGAAAACTCTCACACATATACACTGGTCTCTCTGCTGAGTGCTCACTGGTATCAGTTTTCATTAAGAAAAGATGTTGCAAGCGTTCTCTCTAACCTGGTCGCATTTCTGGTGGAAAGTAGCAGACATCTCCAGCAGGGCGCTCCTCTCGTCCAGCGCAGCAGCAAAGGCTTTCCACTCCTGCTCCAGCTGACCTGAGATCTGTTTGATCTGCTGGGACGCATAGTGGCCCGCCTCCAGCAGACGGTTCCCCACCGACATGATGCGGTTTATGTTTACGTAAACATTCTGCGGGAGACGGAAAATATTACTACCAAACACAATGTCAAAACAAAATGATTAATGATTAAAGTTTTTAGTATAGAATTTTAATATTAGCCATTTGTTGTTTATTGGCTATAACATAAAACTTCATAGTATCAACCAGAGATTTATCATCAGTGCAACACTAATTCAAACGGATGTCCTTTCACAATATCACATTTTGAAAACTGCTTCAGAATGGATTGTTCACTCAACACTGCTATTAGAGGACAACACTATACATCCCAGCAGATTCCTGTCTGTTTAAAATGCAAGTCAACCATTAGGAGAAGATCAGTAGTGTGCAAGTCTGATTACTTTCTGATCAATAAAGCACAACGTAAGTCTGAAGATGAACAAAAACTGCTCATTGAAAATGAATGTGCGTTTGTTTCCTTGTCTCTGTTTTCTCTCAAGTAACCCTTATTATTAATAAAGTGACACGGGGACTTTAAAGATACTCTACCAGTTAAAAGCTTGGGTCTGTAAGATTTTTTTTTAAATAAATTAATATTTCAATTCAGCCAGTGACAGTAAAGGCAAAAGTGGCAGAAACATCATGGTTTCCACAAAACAATGAAGCAGCACAACTGTTTTCAACATTGATAATAATAAGAAATGTTTTTGAGCACCAAATCAGCATATTAGAATGATTTCTGAAAGATCATGTGACACTGAAGACTGGACTGCAGAAATTTCAGCTTTATTATTACAGGAATAAATTGCATTTTAAAAACAGTGGTTTTAAATTGTAATAATATTCCACAATATTATCATGTAACTGTTCATTTAATAAAATAAATGCAACCTTGAAGAGCATTAGAGGCTCTTTTTAAAGAAACAAATATCCTACAGACCTCAAACTTTTGAAAGGTACTGATATGAGGAAAAAAAATCAGTGATGAAACATTAACCACAAGGTTCTTGAAAATACTTTATAATGGCTTATAACATAAAAAGTAAATTAATGCTATCATTAAACTTTTAGACTTGTCAGAGCTCAATATGCCTACATCCTTTTCTGCCTCTTTAAACAGGAAGTGATCAATACTTCTCTCTACAGTAATGGGGCTTTTTAAAGGATGCCCCTAACAGGGCCCACAGCTGGTGGGCAGCCACCCAAACAGGAAGCACTTAGGTGGATCATGCTCTATGCTCCATCTCTGATTATACGATGAGTCACCATCACTGAATAAAGAATCGGCGCATACATTAAAAAAATTAAATTAATTACGCCATTACACTGCTTAAACGGAAGAAAAATCCTAGTTTGGTCAGTTAGTAAAAGAAATGCTGTGGGGGCATTACAGGATACAGGATGCATGTAGTGATGCAGTGACATTTTTGATCTTTTGTGAAAATTCTAGTTGAAATCTTACCATGCAGTTCATGGCGAAGTGGTTGTGCTGGGTCTGCAGCTCCATGGCGTGGGGGTGGTTGTTGCCGATCTCAGTGTATCCAGCCAGAAACAGCCCTTTGTTGTGCATGATCCAGTCAAACATCTGCAGAGACACAGCAATCACACACACACACACACACACACGTCAGGCACACGTTTGACTGGAAGCAGGTTAAGTGTATGTGTGTGCAATGCAAGATATTCCATTGGGTGAATGTTTTGGCACGTGCATCGTTGTGTTTATACAGCTGAAATTAGTAAAAATAGAAAATCATAAAAAATGACCCGTTTCTCAGGAGCAAAGAATAGCTGCTGGTTTCCTAGCAACATGCAAATCTTCCACCCACTATGAGAAACATTGAGACGAATTAGTGAGAACTTGTAAATATGTGCGCAGATCCAGATAGAATGAAAACACAGGGTTTGCTTCAATTTAGAGCAAAGGTTCTCAACCAAGGGGGCCAGGGCCCCAACCAACTTTGGGACTCAGGATGACTTAAAAGTATTTCAATTAATAAATTATTAATATATTAAAATAATCTAATCATAATATAAATGAAAACGGTAAAATATATAATTCAAGATTTAATAGGAAATAATGTCCTTTTTGGCCTATTAGAACATATAGCTGTTAAAACATCTGGTTCACAAAATGAATTATGGTTAATTCACTTAACATATCAATACTTCCAGTTTCTGTTAATAAAGCAAGTTTAATAAAAACAAGCAGCTTTGTCATAAATACATAAAAAGTATACTAAATGGTGAGGAGGTTGGAAAATTGTGTTTAACAACAGGGAACCTTTAAGGTTAAGAACCACTGATTTAAAGCATATTCTGCACTCTACACAAGTTAGCTGTGTCACCTTGCTGCATAACATCAAATTTCCACTTGACCAAATCCAAAAATAAAATACAAAATGAAATAAAATGAAATGAAATAAAAAAAATAAATAAAAATAAAATAAATGAAAATAATAATAATAATAAAATAATGGAATAAAATAAAATATAAAAAAGAAAATGAAAAAAAATATGTGATAAAAGAAAATATAAAAGAAAAAAGAAAAGAAAAGTTATTCATCAAAGTAATTCCTGTGTATGGATTTACCTCTATATAAAAAGTTTTGCGTCTATACAAGGTATGCATGTGTGGATCTCACCTTTTCAGCATCCTGCTCGAAAAGCCTGAGTTGGAAGCACTGGTCCAACTGCAGCTTGCGGACGTGCCAAGCCTGATGCAGGTTCTGCCTGGTGCTGTGCAGTTTTTCCAGTAGGGCTGAAATACGGGGCACCAGGCCCTGGGTGTCAGCGTTGGGTTGTCCCTGTCCTTCCCTCTGCCCTAGCGGGACTGGCACAGTTCGGTTAGCGTAGCTCTCGCTGCTTTGAATTCTTTGCAGCAGCCTCTGGCCCTCACTGTCCACCTCCTCCACAGGAGCCTTCATCACCCTCTTCTTCAGGGCTGCGTGCTCTTCTATCATGTGCCTGGCTCCCTCTAAGTTCTGCGGGAAGTCTTTACGTGTGACCGTTTCTTGCATCTCCTCCAGACGGGCGAGCAGGTGCCGACCATTGCCTGTGAAGTCTTCGAAGGCCACGCGGATCTCAATCCACTCTTCGTGGTTGTAGTCCAGGCTGCCCTCGAAGTCAGGCGTCAACTGGGATGGGTCCACCACTTTAGATAAGCCCTCCAGGGAAACCATGGTGGTCTGAAGGTGGGTGTGATGGAGGAATGGAAGGAACCAGAAAAGGACAGTAAGGGTAGAGAGAAAGGATGTGGGTGGAATATGAAAATTAACCAATATGCACAGTACTAGAATGCACAATATGACTTCTAATGCCCTAAATCCTACGTCAATTGATGCAGCCATTCCAGGCTCCGTTAATGACCAGCAAGGTGGGACTGCTATTTTTAACCGGGGGCATAAATCTAATTTCATACAGGCACTCAGGGACCGCCTGAGGTCCAAACTACCTAGAGACAAGACAGACTCCCAGCATGAAGCCTGAGGGTGTCAGAAAGGGCGATATCGTCACCACCAGCACCGCAGTAACACAAACCAGTTCTGAACTACCTGAAGCAGGAAAGAGCCTCGGGGTAATCTGTATACAACTGTATATGCATGCATACCAAATTGGTAAAATCGTTAAAATAATCAACTTTGGCTTTCGCTATGCTCCAAGCATGCGTCAAGCGACAAATTCATGCTAAAAGTGAAACTGTGGCATAACAACCATATCCAATCAGAACATATCTGATGTTTAATATCAATGTTGCTTTCAACCAATGAGATTTCACGTTGGTCCACATTATTGCACAATAATGTTCTGTTTATTATAAGCACACGCTGCAGTTACGCCATCTGCCTCATTAATTGCTCAAGTCGAGTGGATTCTGATTGGCTGCCAATATTTTTATTGTTCGTCAGCTGGATAAAATGGTTCTGTAAGTGAATACTATGATATTGTCCCTTCCATCATTTGTGTGAACGGGCCTTAATGCAGCAGAAATCTATAAAATGTCCTGTCAGCAGCCTGTTTGTAAAATTGTTCAGTATTGGCATTGATTAATGAAAAATATTTGATAAAATGACTGCCCTGTTTACATTTTTACATATTTAACAATTATTACACATTTTAGTACCTTTCTTTCTTTTTTAAAGGGGTCCTATTATGCTTTTTCACTTTTTCAACTTTAGTTAGTCTGTAATGTTGCTGTTTGAGCATAAAAAAGATCTGCAAAGTTACAAAGCTCAAAGTCCACTTCAAAAGGAGATATTTTATTTAACAGAGATCACTTTTCAAAAACTATAACAAATGACCCGTTTGGACAACAACGCATATTTTCCGGGATTTGTGATATCACAAATAGCGACGAATGGGACGAGACCTGGTTGAGCTGCACTAGAGAAGGCAACGAGTGTTATCACTATGTCGGGGACACGCTAGCTTTCCCAAGACAGATGAACTTAGAGTGGTTACATTTGATACAGGAACTATTCGAGCCGTTCATGCCAGACTGGGGAGAGAGGTGTTGTAATAATGTAAAATATGTGAAAAATAATGTGTTTTTCGAACAACCTAGTATGAAAGCCTGTTCTAGTACACCCCCAAAACAAAATCAAGACTTTGTAAAAGAGCATAATAGGTAGGGGTTGGGTATCGTTTGAATTTTATCGATTCCGATTCCGACTCTGCTTATCGATTCCTAATTCCGATTGCAATAAGACAAAAAAATCCATTAAACAAATTTTAAGTCAAATATTTAGATGTCAAACATATTTATTCCGTTTTATGTCTATGGTTTTATCAAAAAAATACCACAGAAAAAAACAACTAGACTAATATAAATTTCAAACATTAAATTGTTAAAGACAAGTAAACAAATTAATTAGCAATAGCATAAATAAATAAAACTGAACAAATGTCAGGTACAGAAATTGAAATCAAAAGTTTAAAAACCACTGTATAGTTTTCTTTTCATAAATAGAATATTGATATTTAACGTGTAATATAATATAAGATATTCAGTCAGTTAATGATTTTTTTTTTCTTTAATTAACATTAATGAATTGGCAGCACGTTTATTAGACGGCTGTCTCTTTAACACCGAACACACACATCTAAAAATACTGTTTCACATGAGTTTTCTTTCTCATCTGTTTACGTTCACTTAAGACAAAAAAAAAACGGCTGTGTTTATGATGATATACTGACATATTTCGTGCATACTGGTCGATAAATGTGAAAGAGAAGTCAGTTCTGGCCCGGAACAACCTTTGTGGAAATGCACGGAACAATTCAAGAATGGACACGGGTCAGGAACCTGCATCGGGACCACTGTTCTCTGTGCTCGCGCTTCAGATGTGTGCGCTGCACGCAAACAGTGTGCAAGTTCTTTCCCTTCCTGCACTTAAATAGTTTAAAATCACATTAAAATGCGAACACGGGAATGGTTAAGTGGAATCAAAATGCACGTCTTATCGAATACCCGATTATTGGAAATTTGGAACCGGTTCTCGATACCCAACCCTATACATTTTTTAAATGCAGTATCATTGCTACATTCAGTTGTGTGATAGATATTAGGTAATTATTTTAATTTATTTTAGTTAAACCAAAACATTTACTCCCATGATGTTCATTCGTGTCTCACGACTGCTTAGGGAAAAAAATGGAATAAACATGGAGGAGGTAGCTTTTATGACATGTCACTTTTTTACTTCATACCTGGTTGGGAAAACTGGCACAGAAATAGGCTTGAGAAATTGAGTGAATGTTATTTTCGTATTATGTATAGCTATTATTTATTAATATTTTGAACTAGCTTTTACCGTTTTAATTTTAGTTTAAGCTTGAGTCATTTTTCACGTGCTTTTGTCATTTTTATTAGTTTTTTCTTCATTTTAGTAATATTAGTACTTCAATTTAAACATTCTATTTCAGCAATGTTTTCAGTTTAGATTAGATTTAGTTAACAATACTGATATGAGCACAAGTGTGTTTCAAAATTAAGACAGAGTCAAAAAATTCCACTCTTCCATTCTTTATTTTTTGACCACATTTTGTTTGTGTGCGCCAAGAGAACTAAAATAGTGTGTTATTCTTCCCACAAATGAATAGATGGGAGGACAGAAAAAAGAAAACAAATGTGCTCGAGTGGGCTTCATCAAAGCCATGTGAAAGAGGAGAGAGCGGAGGTGTGCGCCTCTTTTGTGAATTCAAGGTAAATGCGGTCTAAACCTATTCATCAATTCAAGTTCTGCTGTCATACAGGCATCTGCAGCCTTTCACAGACACACATCAACATGAGCACGCTGCCCATTAGTCCATTAACTGCAATGAGAATAATGTGAGTTATGGACTGCATTTGCTTTTTTTTGCCTTCTGCTCATATTTTTTATTCTGAAATTATGAGAAATGTGGCATGTCATGAGCAGTGGGCGAGATGAGAGCTTGCAGCCGTTCCTATGACAAATTCCCTGACCCTACCCACCAGAAACATTTCATCATGTGCTGTGCTCAACACTTGTTTGGACTTACATGGACCACCAGATGGTAGGAGTGCTTCTGATCCTCCCACTGAAATTCATGCACAATATCACAGTATTGTGAGGGAAGAAAAGCGGCCAAATAGGGCAAATTGAGGAATATATGCGACTGACAAGAGCATGCTGACCTGTGATTGGCCAAAGTAAATCTCACTTCCTCCGAGCCTTTCTGATACAATGTTATTTAATATTATCTATTATATCAATGCTTAAATTATATTAATTTATTACATTTATAATATAGTATTTATTAATATTTTTTAATAAATTACACTTTTTTATATTTTAAATTTACACTTCCATTTTGTGAAATTATGTAGTCTTGTCAATTAATCTTAAGCTTATTTTATTTCAGTTAGTTGCAGAGGCAACATGATATTTTGCATCTTATATTTATACATTTAACTAAATGATTTTAATGAGTTAATTACAACAACACTTTACTAAACTTTTATTTAAGGCATTTTAGATTTAAGTCTGAAAATTTCCACTGACTTTACGAGGAGTTCCCTCAGGCAGTGATAAAGTACCTGGAAATTATTCATTTTCAATGAGAGTTAATGATGTTTATGGACAACAATCGCTATTGATGCTGGTGAATCACTTGGTCAACAACTCAACAAAGCTGAGAAACTTTTTTTACCTTTATGCAAATGAGCAATAAAGTGATGCGGCAGCTACCAATGGGAGTAAAGATAGCGTAGCTTGTTCATTATATGATGAAGTTAACATGCAAACTGAATGTTCAGTATTCAGCAGAAAGAAAATGGAATTACTGTCCAAAACTGGTTGACATCTTAGATTTACCAGCAATAGATCCCATTTGTGATCATATGTGTACACAGCCCATTAATACCAATAGGCCAGCTAGCAACAGGAACTGGAATAAACCACTGTCAGTGCGAATAAGGCTTTTTGAATTCATATTACGTCAAAAAATTCTAATTCCTTGTACTGGAAAGCTCCGACTTCTCCCATTTGACTGTTGTGGAGTCTTAAATGGCAGCAGCTTCATTAGTTAAAGGTAGTTCTTTGGCTACCTCTTCATACTGTTACAAACACTATTACCTGGTGCCCTTTATTTTTTCTTCAATATTTCACATGAGAAAATAGAGCAGAACTGATGTAGTAAGGAATTTACTGCCATTCACATCACAGCAGCCGCACATTGATCTTTTTGGTGTTATGAACATTGCCATAGAAACAAGTCCAAGGATGTGAAGTGAAGCTCAGAGCAGAATCTCAAGAGGTTTTTTTTTTAGTACGGTAATTCCGACATGACGCGTAACTGTCAGTGATGATGTCACTGTAACATACCAGATCCTGATTGGTCTTTATCACATATTTGGGTAATCATGTTTTATTCATGGTGGCTTGAGAAACGAATTATCATTTGATCTAAAACATTATTCTCCTGCACTGGAAATTTCTGCAGCTGTGACATGAGCTATAATTTTTTCCCACGTGCTCTTCCACTGTGCATCCACACACAAAAGCCTCTCCTCCAATAAAAACAAACACCACTGCACTCAAATAAAAACAAGCATGATAAAAAAAAAGCTTTCCACTCTGACGGTGCAAATAAAAAAAGTTGCACCAACACCTTGCAATCGAGACAGCTCAATATATAACAAATGCAGAAAATATGCCGAAAAAGCATTTCTGCTGCATCCACATTTACATTCATCTAGTCAACCCACACACACACACACAGAACATCAACACCCACACACTCCCACACAACCAGAGCTGCCTTCACATGCTCACACCAACACAGATCGGATGTCACAGAAAAACCCGCAGATTATTAATTAATAAGACAAAAAAATGCAGCAGAGAAGGCATTTCACATGATATTTCTGAGGATTGCAGGAATAATCTACAATATTAGTAATCTACAAACACTGAAATGCCTTTAATTCTTTCTAAATTAATATCATGACGACAACCAAAAGCACTGATTTTAACACTGCTAATACACATCAACCGGGTTAACAGAACAATCTAATTATAACATGCCATAATCAAAACAAAAAAAGTGAATATGCACTATGCAGTGATGGACAGCAAAGCTCTAACGACGTCAACATCTACCTCCAGCAACACAACCCTATAAGTAAGAGATTGAAAGGTGACCGTACCTCAAACTCAAACTTGGAGCTGCCGAAGTTGGTCCTCTGTTTTTGCCAGAAGTTGTCTGGTTTGATGATGAGGGCGACGTGGATGCAGCAGGGAAACGATTCCTGCAGGATCTTCAGCAGAGGCTTGATGGAATCCCATTTGGAGCCACGCATGTCCACGATGACCGTGAAGCCATGTTTGCACACGTCCTCGCTGGATGACAAGGAAAAACAAAGAGAGAGATATATGAAAATATGAACTTTAATCCTCTTTGCATTACATAATCTATGGTGCATCCTCCTAGCTAAGAAACGAAAGCAACCGCTGCACGAATGCAACTGGAGGAACTAAAAATAAAGGGAAAAAATGATTACCCTTATCAAAAAAAAAATGAAAAAATCAATGCACATACAGCAGAGAGCAGAGGGAGGTATGCATGGTAGAGCTTACCCATTAAGCCCAGCTGCAAATTTCTATCAAATGAGCTGCTTTCAGAGAGCTGAAGGCCTTCAGTATCCAATCTGTCAGCGTTCTACCCGTCTTAAAAGCTCTGTGACACCGCATCAGTCCGTTACTCTGAAATCCAGAGCGCGTCTCACACAACTGTCAGTCAAACATCTGCCTGTCCGATTTCATCTCAGAAAGTGTCTAATCGAGGAGCTGTCGGTAATGACGAGCTGTAGACGAACACACAGCCTTGTACGACTGCGACACTGTTTTCCACTCTCTCTCTCTCTCACTGGTTCACACACCCTCCTATTTTTTTCCTGCACACTCGCTTGCTCTCCATCTCTTAAGATGACTGCTGCTGCTCTCTCTCTCTTGATCATGATACATCTCTTCCCATCTTTCTGTGTGTCTCTCTTTTTTATCTCTAGGGGAATTGCTTTGTAACTGTAGATCTCTCTCTCTTTCTCTGGTGTGACTGTGTGGGTGCAGGGGACAGAGTTTGTGAGTGAGGATGATGAGGAGGAGGAGGAAGAACTGTTGGCAGTGGCTGAACTGTTCCCACGCTGTCTTTCCCACCAACCACTCTTCCCATCGTACCCCCTCTTGCGTTTCTCTCATATCTAAATCTCTCGCTTTCTATTCCCCTCCCTCCTGTTAAAAGTATAGAGCGACTAACTTCATTGCAGTATTACTGGCTGAGGAATATGTTTTATTAAGTATGCCAAATATGATGATAAACCATCCAGTCATGCTGCTCTCAGATATAAAATCCATTCTGAGAAGAGAAAGGGGTAAAACAGAAGCAAAACGCTATAGGGGTGTTTCCTCAACAACTTTATTATCTGCCTGCTAATATCACATGATTATCATTTATGTTAATTGTTGTCCCTTTCATCACATCATTTCACCATTCGTTTTGAGGAGGAAATTACCTTTTGAACATTTTTGGAACAAAATAGCAGATTCCTATATCTTGCCATGTATAATTTCATAGCTAGCATTTTATGCATCCTAAACGCACAAATCATATTTTCACAACTCTTTGCATAATTTGAAAAAATGACAATTTGTTCAGAAAAATGTAAAAGCTTGATTTTCTGCACACATCACATGCCTCATATTTCATCTCAAGCATAACTATGACAACACTAGAGTGGATAGTAAATAAAACGATTAAAATATTTTTTGTTAACTGAAATAAAGTTGAAATAACTTATTTAAAACGTACATGAAAAACTTATGCATTTATGAAATGCATTGGCAACTAACTGAAATAAAATTTCAGTTAGATTAAATAAAAATCAGACGAATCTACATAAAATTACTAAATGAATACTGAAAATAAAAGCTAACTTCATATATTACTAAATACAACAATAGTGTATAAATAATAATGAAATAACACTGATCCACTGACACTAATGTCTGCTTGGTAACAAACTACACTAAACTTTAAAACTTCACTATCTAATTATTCTAATAATAATTACACTAATAATTCACTATCTTTAACATATTTATTAGGTATAAATTTGTTAATAGTAGACGAAATGATCACAAATTGATATAAATAATTTCTCACATAACAAATATTTAAATCTTTGTTACCTTAAGGATTCTGAAAAAATATATATTTTATGATTTAAAATCTGACTCTGCATAAAGATTGAAACAAAATCTTTTGAAACAAAAGGAATTTAAAAAGTATCAAAAATAAATGAAGGCTTGATAAAATGTTTTAATGTGACGCTCATGTATGAAATGTGTTAGAATAAAAATCAACCCAACGGATAAAAGTGCCAGCACTTAAAGAAACTCCCATGAAGGTCACAACGTGCTCTACACTCTGTAGCTGCACTGTACCAGAGTTACCACCCTCATGCTCCGTAAACAAACATGTTTATAGAGCACGACTGCTCGGCAGAGCCGTTCAGAGGAATTGAGCTGAAGTGCAGACTTGGCCTGCCTCATTCGATTATTATAAGCACAACAAAAGATCACATATGAAGAAACACAGCATCTCTAGTTCACAGGTCAATTACAGATCAATGCGCCCAACTAGAAAAGCCAGTGAGTGCGTCAATACCTAGGGATGCCGGCGAGGTAGGCGATGAGTCTGCGGAGATCCTCGTGTCGTATTCGGTCATGGTTGGTTCGTGATGGGAATGTTAAAACTGGACCGCCACGCTTGTCCCTGCCCCCTGGAGAAATAACAATGCAAATGCAGGAGTGATAAAGAGGGTCGACAGAAAGGGAAAGACATTAAATCAGCGAATAAAAACTGAAATAGGCTTTACTTATTGAAAATGCCTCTTATTACCCATAATTCCCAACATCAAATACTCTGTATTTTGGTGCACATTTACCTGTCACTTGGGTAATTTGCAAACAAACTAAACTAAAAGGGCAGGAAGTACAGTCCATTCAATATATTGTACAGCCTTGTTTTTCCTACTGGACCAAGAATGAAAAACACTGGAGCTGTAAAAAGCAGCACATTGCTGGACTGGAGAGTCAGATTCAAAACCTGTTGTTGACAGTATCAGGCAGTCAGTCATTATCGAAATAATCATGTTACCGTTAAATCAAGTCAATATTTTTCAGAGCAGTGTCTTTCTTTAGAGAATACTGAATGACAGCACAGACCGTTTTTCGGAGTAACTGTGAGATCATTCAAGACGAGACCCTGTTACATGATTTGACATCATAACTGTAAATCTCTTCTGAATCACTTTTCAAGAGGTTAGACACTTGAAATAAGTGTCTCTGAAAGAACTTTTTAGTGTCTGGGAAAAATGTTCAGTTTATAAGTGTGCTAAGGAAAATGGACTGAATAAATCTAAATTTAAGTTCAGAAATCTGTACATTTATGTACAATTTAGTTTTATCCAAACGAGTCAAGACCAGTGGGTCAGGATGGTCAAGTAGTCACCCAACAACCAACTAGCTGACTAGCGAGGCTGACTGGCTTACCTAGATTTGTTTTTCTAATAAATAGTCATAATTTAAAGGGGTCCTATTATGCTTTTTCACTTTTTCAACTTTAGTTAGTCTGTAATGTTGCTGTTTGAGCATAAAAAAAGATCTGCAATGTAACAAAGCTCAAAGTCCAATTCAAAAGGAGATCTTTTATTTAACTTTTCAAAACCTACAACGAACGACTCGTTTGGACTACAACGCATATTTTCCGGGATTTGTGATATCACAAATATCGACAAATGGGACGAGACCTGGTTGAGCTGCACTAGAGAAGGCAACGAGTGTTATCACTATGTCGGGAACACGCTAGCTTTCCCAAGGCAGATGAACTTAGAGTGGTTACAATCATCCGGGTTTAAATCGTGCTCAAATTGATTTGATTTTGACGCAATATTTACACTGAAGCTCGCAGCAGGCGGTTACGGTAAGGGGCACGATGTTTCCCGACCAGGCACCGAGTGCTGCCATCACAACACGCACTGGCCCAGCTAACCAATCACAGCACATTTTGTATTTCAGAAGGCGGGCCTTCATTTGATACAGGAACTATTCGAGCCGTTCATGCCAGACTTGGGAGAGAGGTGTTGTAATAATGTAAAATATGTGGGAAAATAATGTTTTTCCTCAAACAACCTAGTATGAGAGCCTGTTGTAGTACAACCCCAAAACAAAATCAAGACTTTGTAAAAGAGCATAATAGGACCCGTTTAACTCCTACTCGCATCATTTCAAATCTTTTTTTTTTCTTCTGTGGAAAACAAGAGAATATATTTTTTAATAGTTTTTGACCATATAATGAAAGTGAATGAGTTCCAAAACAACATTGGACTTTCGATCCCACTGACTTTCATTGCACGGACAAAAAAAAAAAAAAATTTCTGTCCTTCCACAGAAGAAAAAAAGTCATACCGGTTTGGACAGACATGAGGGTGAGTAAATTAAATTTTAGTTTGAAGCTTTCAGCTAAAGCTATCATGCTTCACTTTGTAACAAAGCCAACAAATTTTAAAGGGGTCATATGATGCGATTTCAAGTTTTCCTTTCTCTTTGGAGTGTAAAAGCTGTTTGTGAATAGATAAGATCCCTAAAGTTGCAAAGACTAAAGTCTCAAACCCAAAGAGATATTCTTTATAAAAGTTAAGACTGGTCCACGCCCTCCTAAAATGGCTCGTTCTAACACGCCCCCACATGTCTACGTCACTGTGTGGGAAGATTTGCATAACACTGCCCAAATTATAAAAACAAAAGATAATATTTTGAAGAAATTTGAAAATCCAAACTTCCATAGTATTTATTTCCTTACTATAGAAGTCAATGGGGACCATCAACTGTTTGATTACCAGCATTCTTCAAAATATCTTCTTTTATGTTCAACATAAAGAAACTCATACAGGTTTGGAGCGACATGAGGGTGAGTAAATTATGACAATTTTAATTTTTAGGTGAAATATGCCTTTAAAAATACAACTGTGGACCAACAGTGAAGATAATGTAGACCTGCACAAATACATCACAATTCAACTTTAACCAATAACAACTTCTTGAATCACCCAGGTCATAGTCATAAACCAAACCCCAGTTCATTAGCATTGAGAAATAAGTAATCAATGTGTTGCTCCCACTGATCCTCCTCTCACGGCTCCAGTTCATACAGGTTGTGTTAACTAAGCCAAAAAGGCCTCAACTCCAGCACAACAAACTCACTGAGCAACTGGGATATCCATGAGGATTTTCTCCAGCGAAT